TGATATATATCTACGCCACCGTTGTTTTCACTTTCCTTCCTCGCCCAGTTTCAGCGGTTGCATTCTACGTTTACGAACTTTACGTCCTATACGTGTGATCTTTCAGATCGAAAATCATATTCTTTTCTCGATACAGATATTACAATCAATATAAGGATTTAGAATAAAACGAAGGGAAAAGAAAAGAAAAGAAAAGAGGATACGCTGACAGCGGCTCTCTCAAAAATAAATTTAATAATACTGCGCGGTCACACTTGTAGTCGGACTTATACGGACGTAATTGTGGTCAGATTCATGCAGGTCTGGCTGCAAATGCGGTCCGACTTGTTGTCGGACACATTTAAGATAGAGCTAGTGTGAGTTAAAAAAAAAAAAAAAAAAAAAAAAAAGAGCAAGCCCTGAGTTGCCGTGTGGATTCAAACCAAACATAGGCATTGTGATCATCACAGTGGGAATATCCACGGTAGGACTTCTTCAAGAACTACATATTTATACGGACTTAATTATGGTCAGATACACGCAGGTACGGCTGTAAATAAGGTCAGACACACCAGTTGCTGCGTGGAATCAAAAAAAAAATAGGCGTTGCGATCATCACGGCAAGACTAAGAACTTCAAATTGACAGCACGTAACATTAACTCCGGCTCGTTTAGTCCAATGGACCACGGGCCTCATGCCATTGGCAGGCTGGGACACATCCGCCCTGAGCCAGAAGGTATGCAATATGATGAGGCATTTCTCGATTTGCGCATGTCATCCTTGCGCAGGGCCATGCTAATCTTCTCTGTATCGTAAATTTTAACGGATGTCCCGAACGACACCTGTGTGTTTATTGTAACAACAAGCAACATTGAAATTTCAAATTTAATTTTTATTTGTTTTTTTGTATTTATACTAATTTTATAGTATTTATAGTATTTAGTATTTACACTTACGACACAACGTTCTTCTAACAGTTACACAAGCGAAAAAAGGCAAAAAGGTTATATTGCCTCGCCTTTTTTTTTTTTTTTTTTTTTTTTTTAATTGCCTAGCCTGCTGACTCAGTGCTGAGACAGGCTTCTAATATGATAAAAGGGCCTCGCTCCACTACTCGACACATTGGAAATGTATCTGAACACAAACGTGGTAAAAAGGTTATATTGCCTCGCCTCTTTTTTTTTTTTTTTTTTTTTTTAATTGCCTAGCCCGCTGACACAGTGCTGAGACAGGCTTCTAATAGTGATAAAAGGGCCTCGCTCCACTACTCAACACATTGGAAATGTATCTGAACACAAACGTAGACCAGATGCATTAGGACTGATTTAACATTTTGAAAGTATCCGACCTCGAACAGGTCCAAATACATTTAGTAATGCTGTGTAGTGGAGCAAGGTCCTAAATCTTACAACTTGAGAGAAGTGAATTCGCAGCAATGGTCACAGGTGCGTATCCTCGAAAAAAAAAAAAAAAAAGCTGGCAGGCTGTGGCAGCTGCTACAACAACGAACCCCCCCCCCATCAACTCTATTTTTGCACAACAGGGCAAAGAAAACATCCGCTGAGTATACCTCAGAAAAAACACAAGAGACCCAAAACAACAACAACAACAACAACAACAACAACTGTGTGATGGCCATGACAACAAACTTGCCCAGGATGAGAACATTGCAAAAGGCGCTTCGCGACATGTGGAAACAAACATGGATATCCACACGTCATCGTCATCATAAAGTGATATGTTTTGTTTGCCGCGAGGTAAATACTAAGTAGTAAATACTGATATTCACTCACCCCACAAGGTAAATACCTCCGCAGCACCGCCATGATGGAGAGAGAGAGAGATGGACATGAATAGTTTGTTTTTTTGCTCAACTATACAGGAAGGCTTCTAAGAAGCGAAAGTGCAATCTTCCATTCTGGTCCTCCTTCCCTCACAATGCATTCAAGTCGCCGTGCTGCGCCTGCTGCGATGATGGAAGGAATGTTTCCGGAGTCTGACGCAAGGTTGCAGAGAACGAGAAGAGCAGCTTCTCTAGCCCATGGACTGGCGTTCCGCAGCAAACGGACTATCGGCCAGATACCGCCGCATTGGGCAATAGCCGCTGAGTACTCGCGAACCCCGCAGCAAGCAAGGTTCCTAAGCTGAATGACTGCCCTCTCCCGCACATGTTTGGGGTACGTTCCACCCAATTGATCGATCAGTCGCGGAATCGTATCGTGCACGGCGACTTCAATGTCCACTGTCCCCAAGGTTGCCCCGTTTCTTTGCCAACCTGGCCCCCTCTTGAATTCCTCGATCATCAACAACGCCGACGCGACATGCTCCTTCACTCTCCGAGGGGCCTTCGACCTCAGGAGAACTTTCAGACCCTCTTCAAGGAAGGTTCCACTGACGACCCATCGCAACCTTTCAACACTAAGCACATTGCAAACGATGCGGGCAACCGAGCTCATCACATCCCAATCTGAATCCATCCATGCGTCCTCGGCCTTGGCGTCTTCAATACCTTTCGCATCCATCCATTTGCCGAGCAAGATCTCGATTGCCGGCACCAGACCCGATGAGACGAGTGCCACCGCATTTACTTCTTCCGCCGCTATGCCTGCAAGAACCCTTGCAGCTTTGTCCCCCCCTTCATCGCCCCTGCAGCTTACCATCATCTGAATAAGCGGTGCAACTCCACCGCAAGCCACAATCTTGGCCCGAGGATCGCCTGCAAAGGACTGTGCGCCGCTGCCTGCCCGATCGTCTCCTTCTCCCTCCATTCCACTGTTCCCACTCACCTCACCCCGTACAAACTCGGATAGAATTGCACTGTCGTCGTCGCCATCCTGTCCCCCACAATAGGTACATTAAAAAGAACACAACAAGAAAAACAACAAAACAGTAGTGGAAGGAATATGAGCGGGGGCGATAGACAGAAAACCAAGTTGCAAAAAAATCACGAAGTAGTCCAGATAGTCATGTACCAAGCAGAGAGCACAAATGCACCGAGATGCCATCCAAATAAGAACAATACAATGAACTCGAGTGCCAATGCCGACACTCTCTGGTCACACCAACACTGTATCCAATGTCGCTCCTACTGTCTGGCGCTCAGCGCCCAGCCTACACTACTTAACCAATCTGTCCTAACTACGTTCTTGCAACTGGTTCACATCGAAGTCGAAGACCAATGTACATAACGTCTCACCAAAGCCGACCACCAGCATACTCCAGATACGTCTCTCTCCTCCCCTCATCACCCTCGAATCCCTCTGCATTCGCCTCCTACCCGAAGACCACCATCGCCATCACCTGCCTGCACCCCTGCAACCCGGCTATGGCTGCTGCGCGCTCGCTGCCTCAGCTGCACCCGAAGACCATCATCGCCATTACCTGCCTGCACCCCTGCAGCCCGGCTATGGCTGCTGCGCGCTCGCTGCCTCAGCAGCACCCCTCACCTCAGCGCCCGTGCGCGCGTCCAACCAGCGATGCACATGCAGACAATAACGCAGCAGCGGAGCAGCGTGTCCGCATTGCCCGCCAAGGCCAGAATGCCTGAGCCTGGGCAGGGCACTTTCCTTTATGGAAAGTGCGCCCTGTGTCTGCCTGCATGGGCCTGGCTGGAGAAGTTTCCAGCAGCTTCCAATCGGGGCCCAGGCCCACTTCTGCAGTTAGGGGTCTGGGCCCCTTACACCTGGGCATGCCCAGGCAGCCGTCCAGGCTCCAAGTGTTTGCCACATACTCATCGGCTCGTCCAGGTTGTGTGAACGACAATGCTGCTTTCTCATTCGTCCGCGGCCACTGCGTGATGTGTCAGCCTCACTCTGTGTGTATGCCCAGGGCGCAACCACCCAAGGCTCTGGGCTTAACTGTGCAGCGCAGCTGTTGCTTCAGGATAGACCCAGGAAAGGCTCACGTTGTTTTGTAACCAACTGAACGTTCTGCAACTGCCTGATACCCCGCATAGTGGAAAAATGTCGAACAGAGGCCTCACGTGGATATTCAGGCCCGTCCGCCTTCACTAGTGTGGGAGCAAGGCTTGCTGGGGGCCACAGCCCAGCACACTTGCCTGTCTGATAAGGGCCCCGTGAGGGCTCCTTCCTCGCAATAGTCTTCAGACATCAAAATCAACCGACGAGTGTAGCTCAGTTCGTACATCCATGACCTAGTCAAATACAGACCCAAGTTCAAATCCAGATACAATCAGATGAACAGAATAAGATAATTCTGAATTACCTGGGCCACTCAGTCAATGATGGTATCTCAAGGCTGTTGCAGCGGTGTCGCCCTTTAAAAACGATAAAAAAAAAGACAACAAAATCATGAGAGGAACTTGGGTTGGTCGGTTTCATGATGGTATTTCAATTTTCAAGGTCATTCCCATACCTCCATCATCAATCACCGTCTTCACCAGAGTAGTCACACCGACAGTCGGCGCCCCTGGATTGTATGGGGCCGACAAGCTGACGGTCCCCCCCCAAAAAAAAGGAGGACCAGAACCCCAAATAACCCCATCAACACCCCCATAGCGCACCCCAACACCCCCATACACCCCCCCAACACCCCCCTACCGCCCGCTAACACCCTCATACTCCCCCCCTTAAGCCCCTTATAACTCCCCCTATAACCCCCACCACCTCCCAAAAACTTCATTGCGGATTCGGGCTGCTCTCCTCAAGCCGCGCATGACCATGTGATCAGAAAAAATAAAAACTGCAAGGCAGTCTGCCAACCGCCAATGGGTCCGCCTATGGGTCGGCCCGACTACCACCTACGGCAGGCATCGGCGGTAGGCACCAAAACTACCCTGCTCTTCACCCTAATAGAACACCCTGTCATCATCGGCAAATCTGGGCTGAAAGTTGCGCAAAATACACCTATAATGACCGGGCGTTCTATTAGGGTGAACAAGGTGGTAGGCAGGCTTACTCTGGTCTATCTGTCATGGGAAGCAGACAATCCCTCCGCTACAGATCCCACCCCTCATCCCCTTCCTCCCCCCCCCCCCCCCCCCCCCCCCCCCCCCCCCCCCCCCCCCCCCCCCCCCCCACACCCACGCCCTAACGTACCCACCCACTACGTGATCATCCACCGCACTAGGCCTAAGGT